CAGAGAATTATAGTTCATTAAAGTTTACACCACAATACAACTTTAAAATAGAACAAGACTACCTTATTTTTAAAGCACCTTCAAACTTTATGGCCATGTTTGCACAAAACAGCAAGGCACGAATGAGCTGTGTTAATGCACATCGTTTGCTTTCACTTGACTCTTCTCACTACAAACTGACAACTTATCATGATGTCCAATTTGGGATACTGGATTGCTGCATCCTACACGAAACAGGATTTGCAAGCCATTAACTACTCCATTTTTATAATCCTGGTTCATAAAGGCCACAACAAACTAGGATCCCAGGTTTGTTTGTTTGTTTATTAGATTTTTATCCCACCCATTTAGACAATGTCTTCTCTGGGCAGCTTACAGTAAAACATCATAATAACAATAAAACAACAATTTAAATCAATAATATTAGTATTATTCCAGATGGAAAAGTATAAACAGAAAGTTAAATAAAAAATAAAATCAAGTATTGACAGGAGGGAAGGCCTGCCTAAAGAGCCAAGTTTTTAATTGGCTCTTAAAAACACCCAGCGAGGGAGCCAGGCAAATATCTGATGGAAGGCTGTTCCAAAGTCGAGGGGCCACTGCCAAGAAGGCCCGGTTTCTTGTTCTTTCTTTCTGGGCTCCCTCGGCGTTAGGCCCCTCAGCCATCCCTGCTGGCTATATTGGTTGATTTGGGTAGATCTAGGTGGAAGAAGGCGTTCTGCCAGGTATTGAGGTCATAAACCATTTAGGGCTTTGTATGTCATCATTACCACTTTGAAATCAATGCGGAAATGAATGGGCAGCCAATGCAAGGCAGCCAGAGTGGGAGAAATATGCTGGTGTTTTCTCATCCCACTAAGGAGTCTGGCCGCCTCATTCTGCACCATTTGAAGCTTCCACATCAATTTCAAAGGTAGCCCCATGTAGAGCGCATTACAGTGGTCTAATTTCGAAATTACAAGCGCATGGACCAGAGTGGTGAGGGCCCCGCTACAATTTCAGATGCTACAATTAGCTTTCTGTTTCTGACTATTTAAACATCTTGTATCAGCAGGAAAACCCGAAAGGGAACAAATGGGCTACATGTACCAGCATAGAGCTTGTTCACAGCCAGTATTTTGCATGACTGCAGGGTATGATTCTATCACTCTGAGTTCTTTTTGCACAACTGCTGCTCCAATTTAATTTCTTTCTTTCTCTGCAAGTATTCTGAGAACTGCAGATCTGTGCAGAGGACCTTTCGAAGTTGTATACTGAAATCATCCTTTGGGGTTCAATAAAGGTTTTTCTGAACTTCCTTTGTTATACTGCTGATCAGTTTTACATCCTCTAATAATATCTCATTGCCACTCTCGAATTGGCCTCTTCAGCCACACTAGACGCTGTTCCAAGTCCTCCATACAGAGCACGACACCATAGTCTTTCGAGACTGAAGGATGCCTAACCTAACTAAATAATATCTCAATAATAATTCTTCTTGTTTGTCTCTTAATGGAGGCTCAATGGCTTTTAACTTTGGATGCAGTGACTGTAAATAATATAGTATTGTATCCAAATCAGTCTCCTTTGTGCCTTAGCCAATAAGTCTTTTACCCTTTATTTTACCTCAAATGTAAAGGATAACCATCTATACTTTTTATTTCACAATACACAACATTCTATACTTCTGCTATTATATCTTCTGTGGCTTCTTTATACACTTGTTTTAGTACTTCTTTGTTCTCTGTTGCAGTTCAGTAACTTCCTGGCATCCTGCAATAAATCCAAATTTCAGATTATTCTGTTGTTTTTATAGTTGCCTACGTTTCAAGCCACAGAGACTGAATCGATCAAAATCCTAACAAGAATTTGTCAACAAATATGAAAATGAAACAGTAGTTCACAGATTGGAAACACTCAATAGACATTCTAATCCCTAACAAAGGAGATGCCAAGGAGAGCAGTATCTATAGGACTAATGTTTTTATTTCCCTTGCAAGCAAAGTGATTCTGGAGCAAGAAATGCCTGACATTCAAGCTGATTCTGAACAGAAGGAGGCACTGGAGATCATATTGCAAATATCTGGGTGCACCAAAGAATTTCAGGTGAACATCAATCTATGCTTTATAGACTACAGCAAAGCCTTTGACTGTGCGGATCATGTGTACCTCAAGACTTGTAAGTCCTGAACTTGTATTGTGGGCAAAAAAATACAGTTAGGACAGAATATGGAGAGACATACTCTGGTTTCCTATAGGCAAAGGTGTCAGACAAGAGTGCATTTTATCCCCTAATCTGTTTACAGTGGACCCTCGACTTACAGACGGCTCGACTTACAGACTTTTCGAGTTACAGACTTCTCTGGCTGCAAAATTTAGATTCGACTTGCAGCCAGAGAATCGACTTACAGACCAGAAAAAAACCAAAATGTTATAAAAATAGAATAAAAACCACTGGTTATGGGATTAATCGGTTTTCAGTGCATTGTAGGTCAATGGAGATTCGACTTACAGACTTTTCGACTTGCAGCCACCATTCCAATACGGATTAATTCCTTAAGTAGAGGGTCCACTGTAATCTGTAAATAAAACCTATAGGGAAAGCTGGACTAGATTCAGATGAAGGAGGAGTGAAATTTGGTGGAAGAAACATAAATAACTTAAGATATGCAGACAACACCATCTTACTGGCAGAAAGCAGCAATGACTTGAAATGACTTTTATCAAAAATGAGAGAAGAAAGTGCCAAAGCAGGATTGCAGTTGAACATTAGAAACACAAAACAACAACACAAAAACATGACTACAGATGAACTGCACAACTTTAATGCTGACAATTAAGAAATTTAAATAATTAGATATTTTGTACACAGTAGTACCTCAGTTTACGAATTTAATGTGTTCTCTGGGATGTTACATAATGTGAAAAATTTGTAAACCAAAATGCGGTTTGCCATAGGAACGGGGGCGGTGCTATAAATTTCCAGGCACAATGCATCCTGGGGAAACTACCTTTGTATTGAAAAAAAATAAAAATAAAAACTTGAGGCATTATTTTCAATGCATTTCCATTCGTAAACCGAAAATTACGTTAACCTAGGCATTCATAGACTGAGTTACTACTGTACCTTGGTTCAATCATCAATCTAAATGGAGACTGCTGCCAAAAAAAAAAAAAAAAAATCAAAAGAAGACTGAGACTCAGAAGGGCAGCAATGAAGGTATTAGAAAAGATAATCAAGTGTAAGTATGTGTCACTGGAGACCAAGATCAAGATAACCCACACACTTGTACAGTGGTGCCTCGATTTACGTACATCCCTACTTATGGGGATGGGGCGTGGGGCGGTGGCTGCCCAGTGCCGGGAGGCTGAGCCTGGCCCAGGCAGCCACTGTATTTCCAATCACCATGTATGGATCTGAAAGTTGGGCAGTTAAGAAAGCTGACAAGAAAAAAAATGTTCGTTTGAAATCTAATACTGGAAGATTGCTTTGCTAACAGCCTGGATAGCTAGAAAGACCAAATCAAGTTTGAACTATCTCTGGAGGCAAAAATCTTAAAACTGAGGCTGTGTTACTGAGCACATAATGAGAAGGCAGGAGTCTCTGGAGAAGACAATAATGCTGGAAAAGGTTGAAGGCAACAGGAAAAGAGGAAGACGAAATACAAGATGTACTGATTCCCTAAAGGAATGACAGGCTTGAATTGACAAGAGCTGAGAAGGGCAGTTGAGGCCAGGACATTTTGGAGGTTGCTCATTCATAGAGTCACTGTAACTCAGAAGTGACTTGACAGCACATAAAAACATGTTGAAGTACATGACTGCATGGCGTAGAATAGAACTGAGAATGCACTATACAATGCACATCCTCAATGACAATGTTAAGTTTTTCTTACATGTTACACTCTTCATTTTAAGAAAACTGCATAATCTCTAAATACTAACACCTTCTCTAATCACTACCTGACAGTTATTGACCTCCTATAATTTTAGTTTTATCTATCTATCTGTCTATCTATTACTATGCACCTGGGAGTAAGCCTTACCAAACTCAGTCAGAGGTACCTTTCAGGAAGACACACCTAGAGTAATACAGTACTGCAAACCCTCATTTAGGCATCATTTGCTGATAATGGGATACATTTTAAATGTTTCAGGCAAAATCCGAAGAAACAAAGCAAAACAAAGCAAAAGACAGAAACATGTAGCACCTTAAAGACTATTATTTTTTAATGTAAGCTTTTGTGGACACTCCCACTTTATCAAACATAGAAAGAAATGGAATGAAATGGAGATGAAATATCAGCTTCACATTCTAAATGTTCATTGGTTACATGCAGTGATTAGGCCTAGGTTTGTTTTAGGGTCCTTTTGCAAAAATTCTTCAAGCGGACAGAAAAGAAACAAGCACTGAGCAGAGATTGGAAGGGAGAGAGAAAAGATGGGATGGTTGAAGATGCAATTAAACCTCAAGAGGGGGGAAAAAGAATGGAAGAAGTTAGTAGAGGAATCAGAGAGTTTTCACCTTAGAGCTTTGTGATGAGAGATGGGCTTGGTAGTTGTGAAGAAAATAGCAGTGGCATGGGATAACAGCAGCAGTTTTTAAATGTTCTGGCAAGATGGGTTTATACTTTCTGCCCCTGCGTTCTGGGGAAGAGGGGTCCCTGTTTTATCTTCCAACCGTCTCACGCTTATTAAAATTGAAAGACCGAAAGCATCCCTCAATAACGCCCACTGACTGTCGGGTCCCTCTTTTCATCAAGACTATCGCGACGGAGGGAAAAAGAGTTCCCCTCAAGACAGAAGAACGATAACTTTGCATTTTGAAACTGGATGGTGACTTTGCGGGGCCAGCCCCGTTTTTGGCCATTCCCAATTAGGAACGGCTGCCCGACGTCACGCCTGCCTGGGATTGGCTGGGCCGGCCTGACACTCAAGGCAAGTCCCACACCCAGAGAAACTTTTTTAAAAAGACTCTCCGATCTCCCTCCGCCCCTTCAAGTTTCTGAACTGCCTTAAAAGTTATTTCTCACCCAGGCGTATAGAGAGAGCCCCAGCAACTCCGGACGCAGCTTAAATCTTTTTTACTTTAGAGGGGAGGGGAAAAGAGAGAGAGAGAGAGAGAAGCCCTCGTTACCGAAAACACGCTTCTCTTCCTGGTAGGAGCTGCATTGCTCTTCTTTTTCAGCTTTCGTCTCCTCTAACCATGTTTTCTTAGTGCAGTAATTCCTCCCCCCCCCCCGCCCCGAACTTGCCTCACATGGTGGTGGAAGAGAGACCTCTGGAAAGCGGCGAATGGTAGAAAGGATCTAAAACTTTTTTTGTGTGTGGAGGGGGGAATCTCTTGAGGGGACAAAAGGAAAGTTGGGGCTGCTCTCTAGAGGCGCAGCGCGAGCGAAAGGGATCGCATCCACCCCTTATTTTTTTCCCCCCGTGTCGTCGCTGCACCACCGGGAACTTTGGGGTGTTTCTTTTGTTCGCCCCGATCGCTTGGTGAGCTCGCCTGGCTGGCTGGACGCCGGGAGTTTCTCCCTCCTACTCTGTTGTGGAAACATGGCTTGGGTCAGGTGGGCATTTCTGGTCGGTGCCTGTCTCTTTTTGTCCCCGGCTCTCGAAGCCTCCGAGAAGGGGAGCCACCGGACGGTCACCTACGTGCTGCGCCCGGAGGAGACGGGCGCGCCGAGCGGCCGCCGGCAAAGCGGATGGCAGCGCCTGCCGCCGCGCACCTTCAACGTGGAGTTGCTGGACACTCGTTACAGCAGCAGCAGCAGCGGCACCCGGCGCAGTAACGGCGGCGGCAGTCGGACGACCACCACCACCTTGGAGCGGACCCGTAGGATGAGCAAAGCCGGCAGTCCCAGCATGCAGCTTCGCTTGGGCCCCACCGTGCAGCTCCAGCACCACAAGCCTGCCAGCGGCCGCACGGCAGCCGCCGCCTCCTTCAGTAAGGCAGGCAAGCTGGTCGCACGAACCAAACTTCAGCTCCAGCGCCAGAGCAACGGCACCTCTAGCGTGCAGGTTCATCCCAAGCCCCATCTGCAAGGGTAAGGCCAGGCGCGCGGGCGAGAGGGCGGGCGCGTGCTGCCGCTTTCCCCGCGTGCCCACAACCTTAAGCCCACCCCCCCCGGGGCACTTAAAAAGCGCGCCAGTCTGCTCCCTCGGCCTCGCTTTTTTTTAAATGAAATGTATGCCCAGCGTCCCAGAATACTTCTCTTCCTTGTATCTCTGCCTTTGACTCACTCCCCGGAGCCTGAACGAGGAAGGGCCAGTCTGTCACTGTAGACCCTCATTTGATACAACCTTGTCCTCAGAGGCTGTGTGTGTGTGTGAGTGAGAGAGAGAGACCCCAAAATGTTGTGGTAGGGCAGTTTTGTTTGGCTGCCTAGCAGACAGATTGGTGTGAGTGAGTGAGTGAGTGAGAGAGAGAGAGAGAGAGAGACTCACCCCAAAATGTTGAGGTAGGGCAGTTTTGTTTGCCTGCCTAGCAGACAGATTGGTCCTTCCTCCTCCCCTTTAGCTCTTCACACATTGTAGCCAGGCTGGAGATGATGGGGGAAGGTGAGCTGCTGTCCAGCAATGCTTTGTCCCTTTCTGGATTAGTTCCTTAAACATACCTCTTTCGGGAGTGTTTGAGTAGACCAGTGTCTCTCTGTTGTTAGGATGGAGCGACTGTAACCCTCCAGATGTTGCATGGAAACTTCCCTAATCTCTGAACATTCAGTCAGGGAGACTGGGCCTGATGGGAATTAAGAATCCTGCAACAGTAGGAGGGATGTAGTGCTCCCAAGCAACTGAGCACATCTAATATATGGGCCAGTCCACACTGTGAAATCTGTTGAGATCTGGCCCATGTTTAAAAGAACCTGCTTATCTTCAAAGCAATCGGGATAGATGGCGAAATGAACCTGCACAGCTGTCCTAGAGTCTTCCACACTTGGTAGAGGACATATTGGTGAGGAAGAGAATGAAAGCAGAGATGGGAAGGAGAAGACCTGATATTATGACTCTTAGGACAGAAGCAAACTTTATTGATAGCCTGTGATGTGAGCGGATGCAGTTAAGTATTCTAAAGACTATGACTGAAGTGGCATCTTTCACTTCTGAAGTCACACATGAAAGAAATCCAGTACTTCAGGTCTCATGACCAATCTGGTGAGGAAGAGAATGAAAGCAGAGATGGGAAGGAGAAGACCTGATATTATGACTCTTAGGACAGAAGCAAACTTTATTGATAGCCTGTGATGTGAGCGGATGCAGTTAAGTATTCTAAAGACTATGACTGAAGTGGCATCTTTCACTTCTGAAGTCACACATGAAAGAAATCCAGTACTTCAGGTCTGAAGACCAATCACAAGACAAAACAGTTTGCAAATTTTGTGAGTTGAGAAATTATCTTGTTATGCATTCAGACAATTAAGAAATGATATTTGTGACATCTTTGATATTTGTCAAATGCCTTGACAAATGTTGAAGTACTAGCATGGTCCATTACTATCTTGTCCCTTTGTTCGCCTCTTTAGAATATTTTTCCTAGCCTCGTATTCTAGGATAAGCTGCTTTTAAAATCTCTGACAAGGCCCTTATGTATTACTTTGGGGCATTGTGGGAAATTAAAATGGCACCCAGACTTACGGTAACTCACTGGAGTTTTGCTGCTGTCCATCACCAGTGTCAGACAAGCCTCCTGAGATAGCAGGGGAGCCCAGGAGGTCAGCCTTAAATCTGGAGTTGGTATTGGTCTCTGGAGGGTTGTTGCAGAATCTTTGGCCCTCCAGATGTTTCAGGCAAGGGCTTCCTCATTCTTTTACTATTTGCCATGGCTGCCCTTAGGTAAGGATACCACTGAGCTTTAGGTAAAAACATCTGGAAGATTCAGGACTTCTGTAAAGTAAGGTCCAAGGTGTTATTTAATCTTTGAAATTGGTGATGATAAAAGAACTTTTCTTAAATTTGAAGTCAGTTGTTAGGTGAGACTTACATAACAGTATGCAATGAGGCTTGCCTCAAGGTGGGCACATTTTGGTAATTCCCTCTATCTTTTTGAGGCTGACTGAATAGTCATCTGATACCTTCCATCTCAGTTAAGTGTTGTGTATGGTTTGTCAGTATTGTGTGGAGATTGGTGTATTTGTCACCCTTACACAGAAAAAAAAACCTGGTAGTACCTGGAAAGAGGGCAAACACAAGCATTCAAATATCTGTTACCACTGAAAAATAATAGCATCAAAGAATGATGCTTTACATTATTGTTGCAATATTTGATTGATTACTAGAGAATACATATCTTCCAGAAATAACAATAACACTTGGAGAAATGAAACAAGTTTAAATTAGATTACCAAACTTTAATTGCTGATTCAGTTAAGTGACTGATTAAATATATCTATTTTTGTCCACGAATGAATGAGCAGTACTTCTGAAGGAAAAGAAATATACTTCATTTTTTTCAGGTAGTTTACTTCCTGGATTATATTTGGCCCATTTCACAAAAGATACTGAATTCTGTGTGTGAGAGAGGGATGGAAGCCTCTTTTAAAATGATACTAATTTTGGAAGTGGATGTGTTAAAAGTAATGAATTATTTAAACAAGATCTGTTCCCTGATTAATTGGGAATATTTTTGTAATACATTTTTTAAGAATGAAACTTAACACAGGAACTCTAGCATTTGCCTTTTGTGGAACTCATATTTAGAACTTCAGAAAGTTACTTAGTTGGACTACACTTCCTTCAGCTTCCATAGCCATTGGGAATTAGACAAAAAAGGAATTATTCAAAACCTTATGGTCTCTGTCTTCAGGTTCCTTATTTAACATCTGTTTAAGGTTTTTAGTGAAACATTCATGTTTAATTAAAGTGATCCTTTTTGCTATTATTTCACACATTCCTTACTTGAGCTTTAACATCAAAAACAGAACAAAGCCTTAGTGAGAATGCTATAGATTAAACACTGGTTATTGTAGTACTGTATTTTTGCTCATGTTCCTGCTAGATGAGACTGTCTTCTGCAATAGCTGCATAGTAATATTTGTTTTCAGGCTTGTTGCCACCTCATACCTGCATTTTGTATTCTCAGAGGGCTAAGAGTGAATTTAGACTACATGGTTGTAGGGATCTAATAGAATTGTCGAAGTTATGGCTCTGTTGTAAGGAATCTTGGGATGTGTAGGTTGGTATTTAGGATTCGTAATAGACAGCTCCTTTCCCCCAAACCATAGCAGTAGAGCTCTATAGTACAGAAATCTAAGTTCTTCACTAAAAATAAAAATCCTGTAATTTTGTAGGATGGAACTGTAACTGTTAAAAGTCGTATCAAGTAGCTTTGACTGTGCAGTGGAGCTATGCTCTTAAGTTCATAGAAATACATTCTTAAGCCTTCTCTCATCCTTGGAAGCAAGGGACTGAGAGGCATTCCAGAAGGTGAACCAAGTTGTAAATTTATAGAGAGGTCATTGGAGGAGTAAGATGTTTCAGCAGCAAATTGCCATGAGGGATTGTTCTTTCTGGATAAGTACTAAAGTTTTGAGAGCCACTCAGCAAAAATGGCTTGTGTGGATGGGATCCCATCAAAAAATGGCCCAAGGAACTTGGTGACTGAGGCAAGAAATCCAACCAGAGTCCATCATGACTGGGGGGAAAAAACCTACCACGTGCTTCCATCCAGTGCAGGAGGGAGGAGTGTGGCCCTCCAGATGTTGTTTGAATAGAATCCCTACCTGTCTGACTAACATAACCCTTGGGAGAATGCTGGATGGGCCACAATTGCCTGCTCCATGTTAATGAATCTCATAATGTGGGCTAGTGGAGATGACCCTGCTCCCCTAGCAGTCCTGGTTCCTGTTCTTTATACCTTTGTTTCTTTTTCCCCTTGTCCCAGCAGAAAAGATTTAGCAGCCTCTCATGCTGTGGTTAGAGAGGCTTAGCTCCAGGGTTTTAGTCTTTGGGAAGGTGATGAGAATGTAAACAGAAGAGACATTTGGATGTCTGCACTCTTTCACATGCATATGCAGCCAAAAGGGATGTGCCTCTAGGTCACATGTAAGGCAAGTGAGGTAACCACAGATAAAGAAATGCTCCCCTCCCTATTAGGAAGTACAACAAGCCAGGGAAGACTATTTTCTTCAGTTAGGAGCTTGAGACTGGAATGTTAAAAGAACAATGAGTGCCTATTCTCATTTAGAATACTTCTAATTGCCCTCCCGCCCTCCCTGCAGGCTTTAAATTCTCTTCTTCTTGCCAGCTTGTAGAGTTCACTCTAGTGAGCTGTTGTCTGGGGTCGGGCCTCCTTTAATGTGTTATGTCTTCCTTTTCAGCTCTTCCTTACTTATCCCTGCTTGGAACTGAGGGACAGTTCTTTTGCAAGACCTCTCAAATCCCTGTGGGGGAAAAATGTGCTGTTGAATTGCAGCTGGTTTATTAGAAAGTGCTGCAGCTGGCAGTTGATCCTTTGTTTGCTGTTGTTTCAGGGTGAATGTCTGTGGAGGTCAGTGCTGTCATGGTTGGAGCAAAGCACCTGGCTCTCAGAGGTGTACCAAACGTGAGTAACCATGGTCATGTACACTGTAATCTTTTTTTTTTCTGTGGTGGGCATTTCCACCCTTTTTCAATCCTACCCTTGTCAGGGCAACATCAATTAACAACCTGATATGTGGTACTAAGCATATATTTGTCACTAGAAAATGCCTCCGTGTGGGCAAAGTAAGGCGATTTAAATCCTGTATAAGATGACAATCCTGCCAACCTAGCAGTTCAAAAGCATGTAAAAATGCGAATAGATAAATAGGTGCCACCTCAGTGGGAAGGTAACAACATCCTGTGTCTAGTCGTGCTGGCCACATGACCACAGAAACTGTCTTTGGACAAACGCTGGCACTATGGCTTGGAAACGGGGATGAGCACCGCCCCCTAGAGTCGGACATGGCTGGACTAAATGTCAAGGGGAACCTTCACCTTTATAAGATGACAAACTCAGATCTGTTTGTGCCATGAATTCATTTCTCCCCCCCACCCCTTTCAGGATTTAACAGTGTTATCTCATTTGAGATTAAGGGTTCTACCATTTTATGACTAATAATTTTAAGCTATGGATTGTTTCATGAGAGGGAAAATTCAGGATACAGGTCTGCACTGACAATGAGTCTGTTTGATCAATGAAGATCTACAAACTATCCTGTTTTAAAGTCCATCTTCTGTGGGGGCAGGATTCGCCTCTATAAAAGCAAGCCTTTCTCTCTTGTGACCTGAGTGCTTCTGCTACCTGGGTTTAGGGAATTTAATCACTCATAAAGAATGTGGTATTATGGCAGATCTGTAAATTAGCCCCCAGATATTATTTGCCTACAACATAAAAAACCCTCTCAAAAAGCATTTTTACCTAACGGAGCAGTTTTAAAAAAAATTAGGTCAGAAGCAAGCGCTCCCTGCCTACTAGAATGTTGCCTTATCTGCTTCCGTCATCAATAAAAAGTGAGCTGGTACTAAAATTAACATTGCTTTGTCCCTTTATCACTAGCCCACTGCAGTTTTATAGTAGGTCTGTGCTGTTCAGTCCATCCGGAGTGGAAGCCAAGCACCTTGGATGGCAGTGTAGACACAGGCTATGTGATACCTCAGTCACCAGCTTGGTGTGTTTTTGTAATGGAAAAACGGAATGGGGGGGTTGCTTCCTGGACGTCTGGCACACAAGCTAAGTATGCTGCTAACCAAAGCGCTCATCACACTGTCCCTTTTCTGCTCACCTGCCATTTTTATGTATTTGATACGGAGTCCAAGTCCAGGATCCAAAAAAAGTGGGAAGGCAGTGAAGGCATCAGTTGCTCCATCCTACTGTTGCCAGCCTTCCTTTGTTCTGTTCAAGAGGTTTATGTGCTGTCCTTAGGACAGAGACATGGTGGGCTACCTGTGGACAGAAAGAACACTCCTTCCCTCTGCCACTGGGCTCTTTGCTGGATGAATGTGTAGGAAGGGATTTCATTTCTTTCATTGCTACTGTAGTAATACTGTGGGCCTGTAAATAGATAGGAATATCTGTTCATGCCACCAGGTCTGCCCAGGCAAAGCTCCTCTGGGGGACCATGCCAAAGAAGGCCAGGAAAAAACATCAAGAAGTTAGGCCTTTTCAGCTGTGGCACCCACCCTTTGGAATCGACTCCCAATCGAGTTGTCTCTAGAGATGCATTTGATAGCAGCCTCAAAGGTGGTGGTGTTTTTTTCCCCATTGCTCACCATTACAAAATGCTGCACTTTGTGTTTTTTGTTTTTGATATGTTTGTCTTTTAAATATTGTTTTCAGTTATTGTTTTGCAACATCTTGCAACATGGACATTTTGACTGTATTAAGAAATGGCACAAACTAACCACTGGAATAAAGTAAACAACTAAAAAGCAAGCTAAGGTGTCTCAGTGCTGAAATGATTATGTGATACAGTGCTAATTTGGAAACAATTTAAAAAATATTCGCAAGGACATCAGCCATGTTTCTGAAGGGGGAATGTCTTGCTGTGTCTTCCATGAATATGTCATCCTGGGACATGCCGCAAATGAGAATTTAGAATGGAGGCAATAACACAGACTGGGAAAGGATGAAAAAGTCTGTTTCTTAAATTGATTCCAAATAAATCACCCCTTGCGGTTTAGAAGTAAACCAAATGATCCCTGAAAAAGTGCAAGCTAAAGAATATGTCTTGTACTTGCGAAAAAATTACATCAGTTTCAAGTGGAGTAACACCAACATGAGAAGTAAAGTATGTCATGATCTAGTTGTGCCCTGAGATTAATTAAAAACAGTCAATCCTATTGCAGTTGTGATTCAAGCTGTCTGTCGTGTGCTCAGACATATCTTGGTTGGGCATTTGATGGTGTGCTCAGTTACACATGCAGGTGTCAGATGGCCTGAAAAACTGAAAAACAGCTTGCAGAATTCCCCATATAGTACTTTTAATAGGATTTTGGCCACTAATTGAATATTTTGTAAGGAATGCCTATGGTGCTCAAGGTCAGGCACAATATTGCACAGTTATACTAAATTATATCCAAGCACATCCACACTGTCTTTAGGAAAAAAGATGAAAATGCTGAACAATAGCCCAACTTCTAGATGAGGAATACAGTATTGAGCTCAGCAATCTGTATAGATTTGCAGATTTGTTGTATTTTGTATTCTGCTGGCCTTAGGAAAGGGCAAGGAACCATGCATGGCAATGAAGCTCCACCCTCACCATACTAGAATCCTAGACTTCTTGTCTTCTTCCCCAAACACACTTTTGAGAAATGTTCATCAGACCTCATATTTCAAGCTTGTCTTTCAAGTCATAAAAACATTTTTGCTATGTTTTATATTCTTCTACATAAAAGTTAAGTTGAGGCCCTCAGAGCAATTTATTCCCAATGCTGAATATTGTATTTATTTTCATGGACTCATAATACACACAGAGCCCTATACATAGGGCAGTTATGGGGCAGCTGTGGAAAATTACCTGATGTCTGTGCCCCATTTGGCTACCATGAGATTCTCTTTTAGTTTGTGCCTGCTGCTCATGGGCCTGGCCTCCAGATGTCCCACACAGACCTTCACTTTGCATTGCCCAAAGTAAATACTTTGGCATTTACAAATGGAAACAAATCTAATAACTTCTGGATATAATGTCTGACTTCTGGTATGTGCACGGAAGTATAAATATATATAATGCTTTTACCAAGGACGTTCTGGGCTACACATAACCCATCTTTGATGAATGACAAACAGTAATTTAATGGGTCTGCAATTCTGCTCCTGATGCTTTTGTTGTTATAGCAACTTATTGGCATATTTATGCTAATTTTTTGAGACCTGAGCTAAAGTTTGTATTGAATGTTTAATTTTGTACAGTGTGGGCTGGTAGCTTAAACTTTCCATCATTTCCTTCTTCAGGGGCTTTTATGTCAGAACCTATTTCGCGGTGTTCCTTCTTTGTCTGCAGCTGCAAAACCCACTAATGAGTTACATTGGTTTTGCAAATACTGTAATACTGCCTCATCCTATTTTTCATGGCTGGACAGTTTCTAGTAAAATACTAATAAAACTGGCTTGTTTTATATTCTTTACCAAACACAGAATTTTAATTATTGCTACTAGAGTTTACTAGAGACAGCATCCTAAAAATGAATTTGAATTAGATTAGTGTCCATATTGAAAGTTGGGAAGGTGGATTTTAAGCTTTAGGACAAATTGCAGTCTAGCCAACTTTAGCCCTATTTATACTTTCCTCTCCTTAAAAAAGTTCAAGATGCAGACAGAAGAATGGATTGTACAATCTCACTCTTCCTCTGTGAAATGTTTGTAAAGGAGAACCTCCATGCATATTGCTGAACTTGTTTACTATAGACTTCTTTTTGTAGATATTTTGCAGAATGTGTAGATGTTGAGCACCTGGGCCAGAGAGATGCTCTTTACATTGCCATTCTACAGCTCCCAGAATCTCCCAGTGAGCATGGCCACCAGCCACGTTAGCTAGGGGATCCTGTGACTTCCATTACAAAAAACAAACAAACAATGAGTTTCACACATTGAACCTACATGTTAGAGGACTGTATGAAGACCACTTCTTTTATATTATATTCTGGTGTCATTTTTGACATAGCAGTGCCACCATGGGGGCATATAACTTTCATGTGGTGTGCTTTTTTCTTTTTTAATGAGGTGTGTTATTCACCATATCCTGGAGGCCGAATGGAAAATAAAACTTCACCAGGATGTGGTAAATTCTTTGTAGCTATGCATTCGTAAGACATATTTACCACATGAAAATGACCAGCATTAAAAATTTATGTGACGAAAGCTGAAAAACAGGAAATCTATGTACAGTATATCATTGCAATCTGTTATGTGTTCAATTAAGAAGCCACTTAAGTTGTTATTTTTACAGGACTGAAACATCTGCTGTATGGTATCCTTCTCATGCTGTTGTCACAAGATGTAACACCAATTGCATGTGGTTTTTCCAGATGGCAAAAAGAGTTTCCACATTCCCAGTATCCATCCCCGGTGCTGGAATGGAAACTCTTCATTGTAGCATGAAAGAATAATGACATTGTTGTTTTAAGAGGAATAAACTGAGGCTGTAGTATGTTGGATATAGCTTGATAAGACAATACTCACCTTAATTGGCAGTGCTTTCCTCTTCTGTTGAAAGTGTAGAAGCCCCTGACTAGTGTAAAACTGTAGGGTGAAATTTCCTGGAACTGGCTTCAGATGGCCTTGTCTGAAGAAGAGTAAGTACCTATATTGGGTATCATAGTCCTTAATGAGTTTGTACATGGAAAAGAATGGATGCATGTTGATTACTTGATAGTCAGATGATAGTCAGTTTTGTGGTCCTTATACACCATCCAAAGGCTACGGTGGGTAATACTTTTATTAATAATAATACAGTAATTGTGTGCTATTAGATAAGTTCATGGTTTTCTAGGTGAACAACTCAGAAATGGTTTGCCATTCGCCATCTTCTGGGGACACTCTGGGACTAGGCAGCTTGCCCAAGGCCACATATCCCTAAACAT